GTAAATGTGTCAGCTTTTGGTCACACTTAGATGGGGAGGTAAATGTGTCAGCTTTTGGTCACACTTAGGTAGAGAGGTAAATCTGTGAGTTTTAGTCATACTTGAGTGGGGAGGTAAACTGTCACTTGAGTGGGGTGCTAAATCTGTCAGCTTTGTCTTGTCACTTTAGTGGGGAGGTAAATCTATTAGCTTTGTCTTGTCATTTGATTAGGGAGGTAAATCTATTATCTTCATCTTGTCACTTGAGTAGGGAGGTAAATCTGTCAGCCTGTCTTGTTACTTGAGTGGGGAGGAAAATCATTCAGTTTTGTCTTGTCACTTTAGTAGGGAGGTAAATCTATTATCTTTGTCTTGTCACTTTAGTGGGGAGGTAAATCTGTCAGCTTTGTCTTGTCACTTGAGTGGGGAGGTAAATCTATCAGCTTTGTCTTGTGACTTGAGAAGGGAGGTAAATCTGTCAGCCTGTCTTGTCACTTTAGTGAGGAGGTAAATCTATCAGCTTTGTCTTGTCACTTGAGTGGGGAGGTAAATCTGTCAGCCTGTCTTGTCACTTGAGTGGGAAGGAAAATCATTCAGCTTTGTCTTGTCACTTGAGTTAGAAGATAAATTTGTAGACATTGTATTCATCCTGAATCTGTAGACATTGTATTCAGCCTATATCTGTCCACATTTTATTCAGCCTATATCTGTCCACATTGTATTCAGCCTATATCTGTCTACACTGTATTCAGCCTATATCTGTCCACATTTTATTCATCCGATATCCGTCCACATTGTATTCAGCCTATATCTGTCCACATTGTATTCAGCCTATATCTGTCTACATTTTATTCAGCCTATATCTGGCCACATTGTATTCATCCTATATCTGTCTACACTGTATTCAGCCTATATCTGTCCAAATTGTATTCAGCCTATATCAGTCCACATTGTATTCAGCCTATATCTGTCTACATTTTATTCAGCCTATATCTGTCTACATTGTATTCAGCCTATATCTGTCAACATTGTATTCAGCCTATATCTGTCTACATTGTATTCAGCCTATATCTGTCCACATTGTATCCAGCCTATATCTGTCTACATTTTATTCAGCCTATATCTGTCTACATTGTATTCAGCCTATATCTGTCCACATTGTATTCAGCCTATATCCGTCCACATTGTATTCAGCCTATATCTGTCCTCATTGTATTCAGCCTATATCCGTCCACATTGTATCCAGCCTATATCTGTCTACATTGTATTCAGCCTATATCTGTCTACATTGTATTCAGCCTATATCTGTCCACATTGTGTTCAGCCTATATCTGTCCACATTGTATTCAGCCTATATCCATCCACATTGTATTCGGCCTATATCTGTCCACATTGTATTTAGCCTATATCCGTCCACATTGTATTCAGCCTATATCTGTCTACATTTTATTCAGCCTATATCTATCTACATTGTATTCAGCCTATATCTGTCCACATTTTATTCAGCCTATGTCTGTCTACATTGTATTCAGCCTATATCTGTCCACATTGTATTCAGCCTATATCCATCCACATTGTATTCAGCCTATATCTGTCCACATTGTATTTAGCCTATATCCGTCCACATTGTATCCAGCCTATATCTGTCTACATTGTATTCAGCCTATATCTGTCCACATTGTATTCAGCCTATATCTGTCTACACTGTATTCAGCCTATATCTGTCCACATTGTATTCAGCCTATATCCGTCCACATTGTATTCAGCCTATATCCGTTCACATTGTATTCAGCCTATATCCGTCCACATTGTATCCAGCCTATATCTGTCTACATTGTATCCAGCTTATATCTGTCTACATTGTATTCAGCCTATATCTGTCCACATTTTGTTCAGCCTATATCTGTCCACATTGTATTCAGCCTGTATCTGTCTACATTGTATCCAGCCTATATCTGTCCACATTGTATTCAGCCTATATCTGTCTACATTGTATTCAGCCTATTCCCTTCATTTTCCTCTAGTAGTTTCTGGTTTCATTTATTAAAGTGAAATAAAACTCTCATTAAAATGTCATGTTGTGTGGTCATCTTAAAATAGTCAAGATTCAGGTTTCAAGTTTAAGATTTGATTTAAAAATATGTGGGTTTCTTCGTGCTGGTGCTGATTTCAGGGCTGTGCTCAGTGTATACCTCAATCATTGAGTTACCCCAGAATATAAGATGTCCTCAGTGTGTACCTCAATCATTGAGTTACCCTAGAATATAATCCAAGAGAGATGTCCTCAGTGTATACCTCAATCATTGAGTTACCCCAGAATATAATCCAAGAGGGATGTCCTCAGTGTATATCTCAATCATTGAGTTACCCCAGAATCTAATCCAAGAGAGATGTCCTCAGTGTATACCTCAATCATTGAGTTACCCCAGAATATAATCCGAGAGAGATGTCCTCAGTGTGTACCTAAATCATTGAGTTACCCCAGAATATAATCCAAGAGAGATGTCCTCAGTGTGTACCTCAATGATTGAGTTACCCCAGAGTATAATCCAAGAGAGATGTCCTCAGTGTATACCTCAATCATTGAGTTACCCCAGAATCTAATCCAAGAGAGATGTACTCAGTGTTTACCTCAATCATTGAGTTACCCCAGAATCTAATCCAAGAGAGTCAAGTTTTCTCTACAATCAGATATGAGGGATTTCTCCAGTTAATTCTGATATATTTTCCCCTGTATCTGATATCAGGAATCATCTCAAGTGTATAACATATCCCTCCTTCTGGTCTTCATTTTAACGATCAGCCCTCAGACAGGTCTGAATGTATAAGGTAGTCCTCAGACAGGTCTTAATGTATAAGGTAGTCCTCAGACAGGTCTTAATGTATAAGATAGCCCTCAGACAGGTCTTAATGTATAAGACAGTCCTCAGACAGGTCTTAATGTATAAGGTAGCCCTCAGACAGGTCTGAATGTATAAGATAGCCCTCAGACAGGTCTTAATGTATAAGATAGTCCTCAGACAGGTCTTAATGTATAAGGTAGCCCTCAGACAGGTCTGAATGTATAAGATAGCCCTCAGACAGGTCTTAATGTATAAGACAGTCCTCAGACAGGTCTTAATGTATAAGATAGTCCTCAGACAGGTCTGAATGTATAAGATAGCCCTCAGACAGGTCTGAATGTATAAGATAGCCCTCAGACAGGTCTTAATGTATAAGATAGTCCTCAGACAGGTCTTAATGTATAAGATAGCCCTCAGACAGGTCTTAATGTATAAGATAGCCCTCAGACAGGTCTTAATGTATTAGATAGCCCTCAGACAGTACAAGATACTAAATATAGCCCTTAGACATGAGCCTTCATATGTAAGCTAGTCTGACAGGTCTCAACGTCCAGTTAAATCACATATGCACAATTAGGATTATATAATGGAGAAGATTTCATTGAAACTGTTTGGTCAGTTTGTTTAGGATTAATGATTTGCTGACTGTGAGTTTGGTCAGTTTGTTTAGGATTAATGATCTGCCGACTGTGAGTTTGGTCAGTTTGTTTAGGATAAATGATCTGCTGACTGTGAGTTTGGTCGGTTTGTTTAGGATTAATGATTTGCTGTCTGTGAGTTTGGTCAGTTTGTTAAGCATTAATGATTTGCTGACTGTGAGTTTGGGCAGTTTGTTTAGGATTAATGATTTGCTGACTGTAAGTTTGGTCAGTTTGTTTAGGATTCATGATTTGCTGATTGTGAGTTTGGTCAGTTTGTTTAGGATGAATGATTTGCTGACTGTGAGTTTGGTCAGTTTGTTTATGATTAATGATCTGCTGCCTGTGAGTTTGGTCGGTTTGTTTTGGATTAATGATTTGCTGACTGTGAGTTTGGGCAGTTTGTTTAGGATTAATGATTTGCTGTCTGTGAGTTTGGTCAGTTTGTTAAGCATTAATGATTTGCTGACTGTGAGTTTGGTCAGTTTGTTTATGATTAATGATCTGCTGCCTGTGAGTTTGGTCGGTTTGTTTAGGATTAATGATTTGCTGTCTGTGAGTTTGGTCAGTTTGTTAAGCATTAATGATTTGCTGACTGTGAGTTTAGTCAGTTTGTTAAGGATTAATGATTTGCTGACTGTGATTTTGGTCAGTTTGTTAAGGATTAATGATTTGCTGACTGTGATTTTGGTCAGTTTGTTAAGGATTAATGATTTGCTGACTGTGAGTTTGGGCAGTTTGTTTAGGATTAATGATCTGCTGCCTGTGAGTTTGGTCGGTTTGTTTAGGATTAATGATTTGCTGATTGTGAGTTTGGTCAGTTTGTTTAGGATGAATGATTTGCTGACTGTGAGTTTGGTCAGGTTGTTTAGGATTAATGATCTGCTGACTGTGAGTTCGGTCAGTTTGTTTAGGATTAATGATTTACTGACTGTGAGTTTGGTCAGTTTGTTTAGGATGAATGATTTGCTGACTGTGAGTTTGGTCAGTTTGTTTAGGATCAATGATCTGCTGACTGTGAGTTTGGTCCGTTTGTTTAGGATTAATGATCTGCTGACTGTGAGTGTGGTCAGTTTGTTTAGGATTAATGATCTGCTGACTGTGAGTTTGTGAAGCATTGCTTACAAAATGTTGGCTGGTAATTTTTGAATTTCAATGAATTTTACTGATTTTTTTTAATTGATTTATGTTTTTGTGATATATTTTGACTGTTTAGTAATGCTGCTTGGACTGTTTAGCTATAAGCCGAATCGTTAGGCACAGGAAGTCTACCAATATGCAGTATGCAAAAATGTGACTGGTTTCAAAGTAGATAAATCTTACCACACAATACAATTTTGAATGACGTTTTTTTATCATAATGGACCTATTGGGGGGAAATTTTGTTACAAAATGCAAATGACTGACTATATATCTAGTCAAAGTTGAATTTGTAACTTTTTTCTATCAATTGTGATGGACAGATCAAACTTAAGTATGTAAATTTCTGTATATGGTTTCAATGAAATTTAATTATAGTTGTTTTTTTGTGTCGTTTTAGAGCAGAGGAGAAAGTGTGTGTTGGATGGCCAGACACCCTGCTGTCCTATCTGTGGTATTACTCTGAGGCCGGGCGAGGTCGACATCCACTTCACCCTCGAACTAGACAAACTCAATCGCTATACAAGGTAAGATACCACATACACTTCACTCTCAGACTAGACAAAATGGAGGCATGGTAGTCTAGTGGTAGGATGCCAGGCTTGTGACCAAAGGGTCTCCGGTATGAATCCTGTCATGGCACTATGTTGTATCCTTGAACAAGATACTTTACTCCGCTTGTTCCAGTCAACGTAGCTGTAAATGAGAACGTGGTGGGGCAGTGCTGGAATTGTTGAATGCTAGCTGAGAGCACCTAAATGGCAGCACCAGCTGTATATAAATGTTGAGAAAGATTTTGGCTGGTTACAAAGGCCCTATTACCACGGATAATAATTTGTGAACCGCTTTGAGACAACCTTGTGATAAAGCGGTATATAAGAACCTCAAATTATTGTAATTATCATAAATCGCTACACACAGTAGGATAGCATATCCACTTCCCCCCTAGACAAACTCAGTTGCTACATACGTTATTAAGATACCATGCCCACTGCATCTGTGAACTTGACAAACTCATTCACTATAAACAGTAAGATAGACACCCAGAATATACCCTCAGCTCATCTCCTTCGCTAGACGGAACATAAAAGTAAAATGGGATTTTTTTAAAACATCCAGAAAGATTTATTGTTTCGTTTTGACATGTCTATCCCTTTCTTTTCTTCATAAATTTAAGCTTGAAGAGAAATCCTCTTGAAATGACTTTTGTCATGCTTTCAATAAAGTTACTTAACGGAATGATTGAATTTGATTTTGTTGAACTTGTAATTTAAAAAATTGAAACAAGGTACAAATGTATATATGTTTAATTTCCTTTGCCTGAAGAAATTAAAACCTGTCTGTAAAAACATTGTACATGTATAGAGAAACAGTGGGATAAAGGGGTTGTTCCAGACTCATTGTCCTATACTTGACCTGTCTCTGGGTTCTACAGACAGCCAGGCTACGGAGCTAGCCACCTGATCTTCTAAAGCCACTTCTCCTGAAAAAGTCCACATAAGCCCAATGGGCCATTACACTATGACCCGTCTGTTGGACTTGTTTGTAAGAACTTGAGCAGACATAATTCCTATATTTTAATAAAAGACACAACATTACACCAGACATAAATATTAAAACATGTTTTTCCTTGTCCATATGTTGTGCTTTAAAAAACTAAAATATAACGGAAAATTGAAGTAGATGAAATAGGTATATGTTTATAACTTGTCAGTTTTTGGTTTTCTGATTCTCTGAGGGTATTGACTTTATGGTCAGTTCTTGGTTTCTTGATTCTGTGAGGGGATTGACTTCATGGTCAGTTCTTGGTTTCTTGATTCTCTGAGGTGATTGACTTTATGGTCAGTTCTTGGTTTCTTGATTCTGTGAGGGGATTGACTTCATGGTCAGTTCTTAGTTTCATGATTATCTGAGGGTATTGACTTCATGGTCAGTTCTTGGTTTCATGATTCTCTGAGGGTATTGACTTTATGGTCAGTTCTTGGTTTCATGATTCTCTGAGGGTATTGACTTTATGGTCAGTTCTTGGTTTCATGATTCTCTGAGGGGATTGACTTCATGGTCAGTTCTTGGTTTCATGATTCTCTGAGGGGATTGACTTTATGGTCAGTTCTTGGTTTCTTGATTCTCTGAGGGGATTGACTTTATGGTCAGTTCTTGATTTCTTGATTCTCTGAGGGGATTGACTTTATGGTCAGTTGTTGGTTTCTTGATTCTCTGAGGGGATTGACTTTATGGACATTGACTAATTCACATCATGACAGCAGTGTCCTAAAACTGAAACTAGCAAAGTGATCAAGGAGACTCATTGACCTAGTTAAAAGTGACAACATTAGATGTTCACAGCACTGAAGTTATTAAGGATAGGTCAAACCGGGGAAGTTCACTCTTGATTAATCATGGAAATCTGAGTGAAGCAATTATTTAATCAAATTAGTAAATCAATACAGAAAGGCCGAACAGAGTAAATATTCACAACATACAGGTAGAAACTCACTAAAGTTACAACATACATGTAGAAGCTCACTAAAGTTACAACATACATGTAGAAGTTCACTGATTTAAAATTACAACATACATGTAGAGGCTCACTAAAGGTACAACATACATGTAGAAGCTCGCTAAAGTTACAACATACATGTTGAGGCTCACTAATGTTACAACATACATGTAGAAGCTCACAAAAGTTACAACATGTAGAAGCTCGCTAAAGTTACAACATACATGTTGAGGCTCACTAATGTTACAACATACATGTAGAAGGTCACTAAAGTTACAACATACATGTAGAAGTTCACTGATTTAAAATTACAACATACATGTAGAAGTTCACTGATTTAGAGTGACAACATACTTAGAAGTTCACTGATTTAAAGTTACAACATACATGTAGAGGCTCACTAAAGTTACAACATACATGTAGAAGCTCACTGATTAAAAGTTACAACATACATGTAGAAGGTCACTTAAGTTACAACATACATGTAGAAGCTCACTGATTTAAAGTTACAACATACATGTAGAAGCTCACTGATACAAAGCTACAACATACATGTAGAAGCTCACTGATACATAGTTACAATATACATGTAGAAGCTCACTGATACATAGTTACAACATACATGTAGAAGCTCACTGATACAAAGTTACAACATACATGTAGAAGCTCACTAACGTTACAACACGCATGAAGAACTCACTAAAATCACAAAATACATGTAGAAGCTCACTGATAAAAAGTTACAACATACATGTAGAAGCTCACCGATACAAAGTTACAACATACATGTAGAAGCTCACTAACGTTACAACACGCATGAAGAACTCACTAAAATCACAAAATACATGTAGAAGCTCACTGATAAAAAGTTACAACATACATGTAGAAGCTCACCGATACAAAGTTACAACATACATGTAGAAGCTCACTAACGTTACAACACGCATGAAGAACTCACTAAAATCACAAAATACATGTAGAAGCTCACTGATAAAAAGTTACAACATACATGTAGAAGCTCAATGATACAAAGTTACAACATACATGTAGAAGCTCACTAACGTTACAACACGCATGAAGAACTCACTAAAATCACAAAATACATGTAGAAGCTCACTGATAAAAAGTTACAACATACATGTAGAAGCTCACCGATACAAAGTTACAACATACATGTAGAAGCTCACTGATTAAAAGTTACAACATACATGTAGAAGGTCACTTAAGTTACAACATACATGTAGAAGCTCACTGATACAAAGCTACAACATACATGTAGAAGCTCACTGATACATAGTTACAATATACATGTAGAAGCTCACTGATACATAGTTACAACATACATGTAGAAGCTCACTGATACAAAGTTACAACATATATGTAGAAGCTCACTGATACATAGTTACAACATACATGTAGAAGCTCACTAAAGTTACAACATACATGTAGAAGTTCACTGATACATAAAAAACAGTTACTCAAGGATAAAGATTACTATACATAAAGCTTAGCAATCAAGTTTACAGTTCATGAACAAAGTTTAGATAAATTAAACGGAGCTCTAGAAGGTGAGATATTACACTTGAGAAACTGTTGCATCTAGGTAACAGTACACAGGACCTCCCGTGAATACAAGTTTCTTCTTACTAATTTAAATGGATCAACTCGGGGACATTAATTAATGTAATTATAAATGTACAATTGTGCAGCGATGGTAAGACTTGTGACATTGATGAAAAGGTAACATTCTCTAGGGCACTGTAATACATTAACATTCTCTAGGGCCCTGTAATACATTAACATTCTCTAGGACCCTGTAATACATTAACATTCTCTAGGTCTCTGTAATACATTAACATTCTCCAGGGCACTGTAATACATAAACATTCTCTAGGGCCCTGTAATACATTAACATTCTCTAGGGCCCTGTAATACATTAATGGTCATACATAGGTCTTAAAGACAGATGTAGTCTTCAAAAGACAGGTGAGGAAATACACAAATACATACAAAGTAATTACGTGGTGGCGGTGTAGGAATCAGCATCATATATAGGATGTCTGCATATATAACTATCACCAGCTGTGAGTTTTAGTTGGATTTACTCAATAACAAATTTGCCTACTTCTCAAGTTTCTAAATAATTATCAGTTAGAAATCAGATTTTGGTTTAAATTGAGTACAATAGGTATATGTTGTGTGTCACAAGGCCCTGTAAACATGGCTTGTAATTGAAATACAACGACCATGGAATGGGATTTAGCCTTATGATATCTTTATATGGATTTGTTTATGTTTGTCGTGAGCAATCAGAAATATATTACGGCTACTTTATTAGTTGTATTCCTTTGTGAAAATGAATCCATCCCTTTTCTGTAGCTCTAGAGACTTAAAACAAGATAAAGAGAAAATGAAAATCAGAAATGTATATTAAATTCTTTTTTTTCTTGCTGAAAAATCAATACCGGAGTTTATTTTGTATTTGTAAGCTATGATTTTTGTATTAGGATGGAGTTTTGAGATGAAACAGATGCGCTTTGCTGTATTGGTGTTTTGTCTGTGTCTCCTGCTGGTACGCCTTGGAATGGATTTTAATATTGTGTTCTGATCGTCTTTGATTCAAAGCACTATTAGCTTGATCAAGTTCACTACTTTTAAAGTTGGGACATTTTAAATAGAATCTGTCCTTTTACAGATATCTAGAATATAAAATGGTGTCAATTTGTTAAAATTCTGTTTGACATTTCTAAAGGACTAGTACAGAAAACAGGGAAAGTTTGAGTTTTCGGTAAAGCTGGGTGTTGTGTATTTCTGAGGGTAGTGGGGTATGTTGGGGCTCGTGCTAACACATGTGGATTATTGCCTATAAAGCAGGGAGTCAGTGCCGTGTTGTGCCAGTTATTACTACCATAACAGTACTTTAGACAACTTATATGCATATTATTTCATCGATATTCAATAAGCACGGGAGAAGTGGCACAGAAGAGCTTCTCTGTTGCGTTTGATCCCACGTGTAATATTTCGTAG